GCATCAATTTTTCTACCTTTTTACTGAAAAAAAAGAGTAGCACTCTTAATTCTTACATTCCTAACAGATGGGATGAAATGACACAGAAATGCCTGAAACTACAGGCTCTGTTTTCAGTGAAAAGTCTTGCACAGTCAAAAAATTAAAGCATTTTTTAAAATTGTGCTTACCCTAAAATCAGCCTGTTCATTTTTCTTTGTAACTGCGGTTATGGGGAACCATCTCAGAAGCTTCCAACTCTGCTACAAAGACAGATGTTTGAATGATTCCCTCCTGCTCAGTATCAGCTGTTCAGCAGAGCTTGCCTCAGAAATAAAGGACCAGCTACCTCCCAATTCTGGCTGCCTTTTCAAGAATGATACAGGGATTAATTTTTTTTTAATAACAAAGATACCTTCTTTGTTTTGGGGGTCAGCTAGAAAGCCTCTGGCAAGCGCAGATTCATGTCACCATCACTAGGTGATCTGTGGCTCCTTGCTCTTAAACTTTACTTACAGGGCAAATATACAACCAGTATAATTTTTATGAAGGCATAGTGGAGCTCATCACCCTGAGTCTCCCATGAAGTCTGCATCTCTCCCTTTCAGGTATGAGGGATTCACTTTTTTGATTAGCAGCAGCAGACCAGGCCACTTGAGAAAAAATGTAGGTAGCCTCATGGTCTGTTCTCCTGTAGGAACAGGGTGAGGTAGTGAACATGATTCAGTGTGCAAAGATAAACAGTTTTGAAGGCTACACTGTCACATTGTTTTACTCATAAGTAAGTGTCCTTGGGTGTGGATGTGAAGAGGTTCTAAAGAAACGGAGAACTCCCAAATCAGGTGAGTGTATAGTTTCACTATGCTCCTCAGGATTGTCATGTGATTTTCTCTAAAGAGGCTTCACAAGCTGTCCTCTGAATGTGAAAGCAACCTACATTGTTGTTTTTCTTTCCTTTGGTCCCTGGGTTACCATTGTAGGAGAGGTTCTTTTCCTTCAGAACTGGAAAACTTTGTGAGAGGTGAACTGCAGAGTGAAAAATAAAATTAAACTTGACTTTGAGTACTAGGGCCTTTCCGGGGGAAAGGAACAGAACCTTCCCTATAAATGAACTCCCAGTTTAACAAAATCATAAAAGCCCCATAAAAGATTAAGTATAGAAAATAATGGCAGTCCAAAAATATGGTAACAAAACACAGTAAATCATTCTTGGAGGGAACCCGTTTCATTTTCATGAATTCGGATGACCTCTGCATACTTCACCAAAGTTCTTATTTTACCACTCCTGAGCTCATAAAAGAGGGTATATTTCATCCCAGGGGTAATGTTAAGATACTGTGAGTTAAGCCCAGAAATATGCGCTGAACATCCTCCCATTTCCAGACTGGGTGGAGCCTTGTGCATAGGACTAAGACTTGAGTAACCCTTTCAAAACCTGCCTGCTCTCATGGCCATCCCTGCTGCTATGGCTGTGGTCTGAGCAATTTGTCCTTGTGAGGAGCTGACAGCCTATGTAGAGACCGGGCTTGCTGGAGTCTCTGGCAGAGATCTTCGTTCACACTTGGTGCTGCCTCTTAAGTATTCAACAGTCATTAGTGGACTAGAGGCACCATTACTCATGTGTAGGTCAAGAAAGGAAAGGAATTAACATAAAAAATGTAAGGCGTACTGTAGTTGTAAGTAGCACTAGGAGAACTGCTGTAACATGGAGTGGCCTCCAACCCTGATAAATTACACCAAAATCTAATTTGGGTTCTCTAACAGCAGGCATCCTAAGAGCCATCTTTGCCCCACGTCATTTCTAAACGTGCTGTGTGTGCTTCAGTTCCCAGAGACAAAGTCCCAGGCAGCTACTCTGTCTGGATTTATTAGGGATGGACAAATTCAAACGGCAAGGAAAAAAGGTCAGCTCCCTTTCCTCTCCCCATCACCATTAAAGGTGTGCTTGAACTCTACCATAGCTCTCCTCAACCTTCTCTTCAAGGCAGAACAAATCTAGACTCTTCATCCTTCCTTGTTAGGTCTCATTTTCTCTTATTCTTGAAGATGTCTCTTTATTTTGACCATGTATACATCAAACAAAGGCTTTGTTTAGACTTCAGTCTAAATTTGTGTTATTCTGTAGTAACCAGAGAACTGTGTTTCATTTCACGACTATGGTAGGAGCTGATGCTCTCCATTTTGGTGGGTTGCACAGCTCTGCCAACCTCATCTGCCTAAAGCAAAGTGGAGATCAGGAGCTGCAAACTCTGCCCCTCATGGAGGAAATGGCATCCTGGTGTTAGTTTCTATGTTTCATAAAATGGGATGACACTGGCAACCTGGCTGCCTCTGAAGATCTAGTTGCGTGGTGGAGGTAGATAGTAATAGTGATGACTTATAAACAGCCAACTGAGGTTGAATTTGAGCTGGTTAAGAAGTTGGGGGTGGGGCGCAGAGAGAGGAGCAAGTAAAAAGTCCTCAGCAAGCAAAGAAAAAAATAATGTCTCTTCATGATGACATGGCACCTGGGAGCACATTGGTACAAAGCTTAGCCTGCAAGAAACCAACAGCTCAGTGGAAAAGCTGGGCATAAGCATCCCTGCAGGCATCAAGCTCACTGATAAACCTGCCGGGATGGTTCCATAGAGTGATATTTTTCAGTTTGCTTAATGAAGAATAAGCGTTCAGGGATATCAGTAAACAGTTTTACGCACTCACTCCACCTCAGTAAATTAAGAACTAAGGTGAATTCTGGAGCCTTAGTACAGACTTGTGTCCAGAAGCATTATTGTGCGCTACTTGGGAGACCTGACATGGAACAAGATGTTATTCTGAGCAGGGTATGTAGACCTACTAGGTAATTTTTAACCTTTGCTTCCCTTCCGTAACATGAGGCTAACGGTACCTTCACCTCTGAGGGGTTTGTGTGCAAGTAAACGAAGCCATGTTTGCAATGCCCTTCGGCCCTGTGACAAGGAGGTGGATGTGCCCTGTGGAAGTGCTCGGGCAGAAGATGGGTCTCCTGGGTCCGGGTGGGATAAGCCAGTCTTTGGAGGGCAGCACAGGGCCACCTGGTTGTCACCGTGGAGCAGACTGGAGGTGCAGACGGCTGCCTTGGGCCTCCCCCAGCGATGGAGATGGTCTCCACGCCCCGGAGGAACGTGAGGGTGGGCACAGAGGGGTGATGTGGGGCTGAAGGGGCAGAACAGAGACATGCCCCTGCGGTCAACACCCGGCCCCAGAGATGCCACCCGGGCTCCCTTGGGCCTGGGCGGGGACGAGGGGAAAACCTGGGCCCAGGGACGCGAGAGAGGAGGGCAGACAGACAAGGCAGCCCCACAACCGGGCGAGCCCAGCCCCACAGCCGAGACGAGCCCCACTCCGTCCCCGGGCGGCGCCAGGCGGCGCGCAGGGTGCGCGCAGCGCTGCGCGGCCGCGCATGTGCCGCTCCCGGGGCCTTGGCAGCGCCGCCGGCGGCTCCCGGGCCTGCGGTAACGCG